TACCAAATGTGATGCCTAAATATATGTCAAGCATACTCAGTTAAGCTTCTTTTATTCTATTGTGCATATTACCAATTAACCTATAAAATATCAGATGACATATATTGCTAATGTACCATAAAGTATTATGCCTTGGATTTAATTTAACTTGGTTTTTTAAAAAAATTCATTAGTAAATTAATTTCTTATTCTGGCAACAGTTTCAAAATCCTCTTTTCCCCAAAATTGGCTATTTGACCTAGTAATAAAATGACTTTTATAAATACTGCCAATAAGGTTTTCATGTAAGACAAATGTTCTCAGAGTAGATCAAAAAGGCAATTCCACTAATACAAAGATCTTTCAAGATGATGTCAGTTACTTAAAATGCTCTCAATTAGTATGTGAAATATTAATTTATAATAACTATGGATTTTATGAATGTAACCTTTCAATTATTTTAGGTAATAGTAAGATGTTTGGTAAAACCATAATTTTAATGGGACTGTATCTTAAAGAAAATATCATTTTCTAAGTATTTTTGTTCAGATCTATCACATGATGTATACTTAAGAAAATAGTGGGAATATTTCTGAGGAACAAAAGTGTATATGGGTGGAACAGTTGGATAGTTACAGAAACAATGTCTTTTAAAAAATAAAAAGTCACTGAAATGTCAATGAAAAGTTTTATGTTGGTTAAAAGACACTGTAATTAAAAAGTTTTATGTAGGTTAAAAGACACTAATTTTCAATTTTCTGTTAGGAATTTTCAAATACAATTTTCAATGTATTTAAACAACTCAAACAACTGCCCCGAGATTATCTCAAAACCTTAAACCAAATACAGTCCTCTGAAGTTTTCTTAAAAAGAAATAATTGCTTAACTAGTGGGGGGAAAGTGTCTGACTGGAGCATTATACTGTGTTAAGAGCTATTTATAGGGGGTTAAACTGAAAAAAGCAACTTGAAAGACTAGACACAGGAACCTTAAGGGACAGTGAATTTATATTAATGAAGGAAGAACAACTCAAAAAACATAAAGATGCTCGCAAACATTGAGAATATAATCAGTGTCACTGAATTATACATGTAAACTCACTGAATTGGTTTATGTTTTGTTGTGTATATTCTAAAGAGTAATAAAAAAAGAAGGAAGAATTAACCTTTTAGATAGATAGTAAAACGATATGACATTTGTCACATACATCTGAAAAGATATTTGAAGCCACTCAGTATCACACTATATATGGATATACTAGTTTCAAAGACAAAAGTGGCTGTTTTAAATGCATAAAGATAGCTACCAGAGTGAAAGATAAAGAGAGGGCAGAGAGATGAGCCCAATATAATTTAATATTAACTATCTAAAGAGATGAAATATTATAGTCTTAGAAAGTCAAGTGCTTTTGAGAATTTTTCCTAACAAAGGAGGGAGTGGAGCATTTTATACAAAGCATGTTGATATATAACTAGTAGTTATTTAACAGATTATTCATAAGAATGTTTTAATGTATATTTATCTCCATTGAAATGGAAACTTTCGTTAAAACAAATCTAATAGGACTTTAAAGCCCCTAGGCTCCAGATGAAGAGCATGAGACCCGCCCCACTGTCCCCTCCAAGAAATTGAGCAACTTAGCCAAGATCAGATCATAGCTATTATCAGAGTTGGGTGCCATGATGATGTACTGGCAGTCACAATGATTTAATTGGGTTAATCCAGAAGAAAGTCACTGACTAGGTTGCTAACTTTTCTCTTAGATATACTAAGGTGACTAGGAAGCTATCTACAAAGTGGAAGGGCGAAGTATTTCAGGATGACCTAAGAGACAGCTGATCAAAGAGCCATATAATTCTGCTTTGTTTCTGATCAACAGCTCTATTTGTCTACAATGTAAAGCAGCTATCTAGATATTAAATGTCAACCTGAATTTAGAAGAAGACTATCCAAAGAAATATTTTTAAAGTTTTTACTGGGGAATAGATATTCTAGATCACTGGTTCTCTGTTGACTATGCATCAGATCCCACTGCAAGGCTTAGTAACAACATGTATATGCATGCACGCGCACGCACGCACGCACGCATGCACACATACACACATGCATGCGAACGCACACACACTTCCGCTCCACAGCTCCCAATCCTAGACCTAAGTCAAATTGCCTGGGAATGGAGCCTGGAATCTGTATTTTTATAACAAGCTTCTCAGGTGATTCTGATTCTGTAGCATCATCAGTCCAGACTTACATATGGGACCATGTCTTCCTAAGCACCTCTAAAAGCTTTCCTTTTTTTTTTTCTTAAAAAAAAACCAAACAGTTATTATGCAATATAGAAAATCTTAACCAGCGAGGGAGGAAAAAATGTGAGCAAATATCCTTAAGAAATAAAAGAATCTTTATTGTTTATTTATGAAGCATTATGTTGAGAAATGGACAGGCAAATATCTGGAAATACCATACAGCAACTAATGGGTTAAACATCTGTAAACACAAAAAAAAAATCACAAAAACATTTACATGAACCAGTTTCTTTATACAAATGCTAACATATGAAGGATACCCAAAACCAAAGAGAGTATTACTGTCAAGATGTAAACCCAATGAGACAAATAAAACTACAGTTGAGTACAAAGGACACATAGGTATTAAGGTGTAAATAGCAGTATACAAACTGGCCCATGTAAAATATAAAAATATTCAGTGAATTCATATTTTCTAGAAAACAATGGTTATTAGAGGCATTTTAATACTAACCATGTATATACTCTAAATAGAAGTTTTAGAAATATTAATGACATTAAGCCAGTGCCTCTCATTTATGCTTCCAAATAGTATATTTATAAATTTTTTTTAAGTTCCAGAGCTGCTTGGTTTCAGCTTATGATTCACACTAAAACACTATTTCAACAAATAAATATATTTTGAAAACCAGATTTTTATTCAGTGCTTAAAAATTGTTTTAACCTAACATGCAGCCCAATGTAGCTCTAAAGGTCAGGCTAGCTGGGAGTCCTATTCTGTACTAGTAAACACGGAGCAACGTAGAGCTGGAGAAAAGATTTATCACTCTGCTATAACTTTAAAGACCATTACAGGCATACATGTTAACATGCAACTGCCAATGTGCCTATATGTAGCTAGACTATCAAATTTATACAACATCCATAACATAGTGGAACCCAGATATCTCATTTTCTAGTAAATAGGGAGGTACATAACCCCTCCTAAAAAAAATAACTCATATATGGCTATGTATTAATAATTTTTAAAATAGGTGCTCAGAGCCATTTCAATATAAAAAAAACCTCCTAGAAGAAGCAGGAAATCCTAGATGTGTTAACTATCAAACAGAAATGGTTTGCTTTTCTCATCTAAACATTAGGTGGTGCCCAGTAAATGTAAGATTAGTACATCTCTGCAAAGCACACAAAGTACATGAATTAATAATAATCCTACCATAATGAACAATAACAGTATGAGTTTTGATTAGCATAAAACCATTAAAATGTGAAAGCCAAATCAGTAAGTGTTGTAGCAATCAATGTAAGCTGGAGACAAAGAATGACTTTTAATGGATGTCACCAAGAAACTAAGACTTTAGGATTAGGTGTAAATTACTCTGTAGGTGTAAGTGCACTCTTTTATCTAGATTCCATACTATAATGGCATTTTTTTAAATGAAGAGAACAAATGCTACTCCTAACAAAAAGATGCATTTTTACACTTCACAAGCTGTACAGGTTTGGTTGTTTTGGTGTTTGGTTTTTTTCCCCCTCTAAACTGCACAGCCCTCTCACAGGTTAGTTTTAAATTTGCTATGTACATGTTATTTACATGTGTGTATTACATGCAGGAAATACCATACTAAAAGGCTTAAGAGAAATCAGCATTAATTTTAGACATACCAATCATCTATTTACCATGTACCATCTAACATTTATTTGAGAAAGCAAACCATTTCAGCATGTAGAGGCCAATTTACAGTACAAAGGACTAATACTCTAAACTGGCATTGCTTAGCAATTATTCCTAAAGTACCTAGAAACTGGATTGAAATGCCCAGTTGGAATAGTCTTGTGTCTTGGACTTTTTAAAAAAGGTTGAAATATCTAGATTTTTTTTTAAAAAAAGGATTAAACAAGATTAACACCATTAAATACAAATGTATTCAAAAAGCATTTAAAAAGCATTTATTGCTAAGAACATAATGCTAGGCCCTGTTCCGATCTATTGACATCCGCCTCGTAAGTCAAATACGCAGCAGTGCCAAAATAGCTAAGTTAACCTGCAAACAAAAAATCACATAAGAAGTGCAAAAGAAGCAAGTACAAATTGACTGTAGAACATGTTGCCCCAGCACAATTACTTGCTGGGGGGTAGGGGGTGGGGGTGGGGGTGGAGGGCATGACACACAATGCTTTTTAAAAATCGGTTTTCCTAAGTTGTCAATTTTTAACGAGTCATAGCTAACTGGATGGCATCTAACAACAACAATAATCGGAGTATCTAAAGTGAAACTGCTGAAATACGAATTCAAGTCAGCAAAACAAAAACTAGAATCCAGGTCATTTTTCACATGCCTTTTCCTGTAGAGAGGTCACTGTTGTTGTGTGTCAACAAGTCAACTGTGACTCCAAATGACCCTATATGACAGAGTAGAACTGCCTCGTAGGGTTTGTTAGATAGTAATCTTTATGTGAGTAGATAGTAGCTAGGGGTTTTTCCTCCCACAGAGTAACTGGGTGGTTCAAATGGCCAACCTTTCGGTTAGCAGCTGAGTGCTATATTGTGGCACCATGAATTGGATTTCAGGGTTGAGAAAACCAATCATGGAACTAAATTGCAGTTTATAGTTTGGGGTGACTTGTGTTTGTTTAAATTTGAAATCCTCCAAATCATTCATTCCAAGACCAGGACTACGACTACATATACCTTAAATTGAGTAATATTTAATGTTGGAACATGTACTTGCTTCTTTTTTTTTTTTTAAGAAACAGTGATAACATGTATTAGTGTTACAGAGTCTGATATCCAACATAACTTTTTCTTCTGCCAATTAGGTAAACAATCACTATAACGATAATCAAGCCTGAAAGACCAGCACCAACTATAATTGGTATTAGAATGGTGTCATCGTCCAGCGAACACTCCTGGGCTGTAGATGAGAAAAAGTGTGTAACAAATAATGAGTATAAGTTAAAAAAAAAAGTCCAAAAGATGTCGATTCAAAAGTCAGAAATTCTCTTGTAAGATCAACTTTAAGTAACTTAACATGTCTATTTTCCTGATCAAGCTATAGAAACCTATAGCTTATTCTAAAATCCCAATCTTAAAACATATGTGCACACGCGTACAGAAATTCATGGAGAGATACAGAGAAAGAAATATATATATATAGATATTTATTTTATGTTACTAATTGTTTTCAAAATAGAAGCATAACTTTAGCAGAAATAAAGGGAACCAACTATTTAAGCCTTTTTCTACACAGCCTATCGGTAAGTCACAAGATCAATGTTTCTTTAGAAGAATTGAACAAATCAAGATTAGAACAGCCAGACTGGCCCCAAAGTTCCCTTAAAGCAAGAGTCTGTAAACTATAATCCTTAGGCCAATTCAGCCCAGGAGCTAAAAATGGCTTTTAAACGGCTACAAAAAAAAAATCAAAGGAAGAGGATTTTGTGACATATGAAAATTATATGAAGTTCAAATTGTCAGGATCTATAAGGAAGGTCTCCTTGGACCACAGCCACATTCACTGTTTATGAATCACAGATGGCTATTTTTCTGCTATGACCAACTCACTGCCATCAAGTTGGTACTGTCTCTTTGTTGACCTTATTTGTGGGTTTTCAGAGGCTGTAAATCACCTACGAGGTGGAAACTGTCTATCATTCTGGTGGATTTGAATTTCCTGCCTTTGGGGCAGCAGCACATGCTCTGACCACCATCAGAGCTTCTTCTCTCTGTTACAACAGTAGAGTGAAAAGAATTCTGACAGAGATTGTATGGTTGCAGAGCATAAAACAGTTACTGCCTGGACCTTTCTAGAAAAAGAGTCTACAGATCCCTCAATTAAGAGTATATCATTTTAGTGGCTAATAAAAAGTACAAAACCCCATTCACTATATTTATCAATCTGGTCAGGGCTGGCAGCCTGCAGAAACTTATTTTTCCTATTTCTAGAGAGTAAAATCTAATCAACATTCTTTTACCTAACTATAATTCTATCTGTCCCCTCTATGCAGGCAAGTACTACCTGTGTGTTGTATAAATATAGGTACCAATAGCCTAGAATCCAGTTCCACAAATAGCTTGCACCATTCATTATCTGTAGTAACTGCTGTATACTCCCTTGGGTGACATCTAAGTTTCCAATTAGAGAAAAAAACACAGCTCTCAACTCTATTAAAGCTGACAAGGTAAATGGACTTGAACTGATAATAACACTGCAAATGATTTTTCAATTTGAAACATAAAACTGGACCCCCAAAATAAGGTTAATCATGTAGGGGAGTTAGATAAAGACTCCAAAATTAAAACGATCAAAGGACCAAAATAATTTAAGTACATAAACAAAACTAACAAAGGAGAAAATGGATTCTTGAAAGTGTTTTTCAAGTGTGATGAGCCTCTCTAGTCCTAAGAATGATAGGGTGAAGAGGCCAGTATATTTTAGCCTAACAACTCAGACCACTAAAAAGCAGGTGAAGGGCTCACAACTTATTATTCCCTTTTAAACATCACTTCTACATTTCCTTCTTGTTGAAAAGGATGCGAATAGCTGGAGCAGTTCGTGGTAATCAGTTTAAAAGGTCAAGGAAATAAAACAAAGAATTCCCCGCCCCCTACACTTCATTTCTTCAGGCAAATCTAATCTCGTAATGCTAAATATCTTTCACATTTATATAAAATAACTTCTATGAGAGTCTCATTAAAGATCTGATAAATAATATCATTAGCCCTGAGGAGATCTTCAGACTGCCTCATCCACACTGGTATGACTTTTAAAACTCTCCAGATAATTTTAGTTAGGAATATAAATATACATCGTCAGTTCATGATATTTGAGGCTCTCTTACCACTCAGTTTCAACTCATGGCAACCCTCCATGGGGTTTCCGAGGCTATACACTGAGAGAGGAGAAGGCTGTCTCTCTTTATCCTGCAGAGTGGATGGTGGAGTTGAACTGCCCAGACATGCAGTCTTTGGGTTAGCAGAGTAACTTGCTACAGACTACACCACCATAAGTCAACTTTGTTGTTGGGTACCAACGAACTGCAATCAAACCATGCCTGACCCTATGGTAAGTTTTCAGAGGCAGTTAATCATACAGGAGGAGATTGACCACCTTTTTTTTCCCTACAGAGTTGCTAGTGGCCTCGAACCACATGTCTTCAGGATTGCAGCACAGCTTCTTGCCTCTAGGCCACCAGAGCTAAGACTAAACTGTTTTCACTGAGTGAGCAAGTTTCCTGGCAAAAGACGGTAGGTACCAAGAAGGCTGATGTTCCCATGTGCCCTCCTCCACGCGGATGAAAACTTTGTGTGGCAGCATCTTTAAGTCCATCCATTTTTTATCTTTGTTTCTTTGTAGGAGAACCCAATGGAGGAACTGGTGGAAGCAGAGAGGTGAGGATGGGTAGGGGCTAAACCACAAGGTTGCACATTTTAGTGGGTGGAGGGAGGGGGTAGGAAATGGGAAGGATTCAGATGAAAAGACAGAGTAATGATAGGCAAGGCCCAATGGGGATTAAATTTAGAAAACATAATGCATGAGAATGAGTGTATGAAACACAACATGAATATGTGAAACACAATGTATACGAACTTTGTAAGCAAACTAATTGTTTTAAAAATAGACTTTTGTGACAAATAGTTTTTATATGGGTGGGGAACCAATCTAAGCCAAGTAAAACAATGAGCCAAATTTTAAGTATTTCTCTCTAAATATTAAGAAACACAGTTATACCACTTGCTGAAGGCTTTTAGAACTTTACAGCAGAATTAAGAGCTGAATTCACATAGTCTTGTGGCCTCATGGGTGAGGGGGTATGCTGCCAACCAAAAGGCAGGTGCTTCAACTTCACCAGCCAGTTGTATTTGTACCAAGACAGGGAGACAGTTTGAATGCTAGGTGCCAAAAAATTGTAAACCTTTCTTACATATAATTGCCTAATGGGATCCTCGGGGAAGCTCTGGCGGCCTAGTGAATAAGGAGCTGTGGTGCCAACCCCCAAAGGCAGGCAGTGCAACTCCAGCTGCTCCATGCGATCGGCAACCAACCTCCTCTCGTGCAATGTATAGCTTCTGAAAACCTGCTGGAGGGTGGCTGAGTCGGCTCGATGGCAATGAGTATGAGAGAGAGAGAGAATATGTCAATGTTTCAATTGCCATGACTCAAATGAAGAGGGCCACTTTTTCAGCGGCATACAAACAGAAACTGTAAATACAATGTGCCTGATTCTTACCTGTGGAATACTTTCCTTCCATCACATTAAAAGGCTGAACTCTGAGTCCAAAGGTATTTATCTGAAATGTCCCAGACACTGCAACAGTCTGCTCTTTGTTGCACATGTAAGAACTTCCCAGGGGGGCATCCCAGTAGCTAAGATTGTTGTTTGCAAAACTGAAAACTTGAAAGAAAGAAACAGGTTAGTAACTTCTTTTTCCAATAAACACCAAAAAAAGAGGATAATTCTCACAGGAATTCACCATTAAATATGCAGGCTTGGAGCACCAAGGTCTAACTTCAAAAAGCAATTTTATTACTGGGTTCTCTTTTGACAGATAGGCCTCTAGTCTAAAATGAGTTACACCTTATTATCCACAATCCCCTGAAAAGATAGGATACAAAAAACCCCAAAAAAACCCAAACAACAAAACACAAAATCCTAGTTCTAAGAGATTAACTTTGAATTGTGTCTAAAGTACAGTTTTTACATAGAATCATCTGTCCCAATAAGACAGACATTATTGGTTAACAGGACAACTGGGGTCTGGTTTCTTCAGTTTAGCCTGCGCTCCGTTCCCCCAGACCAATGCTTACCAGAGCCATTTCCCAAATTCATGCTGACATTCACTGCCTTCAGATAAAAGCGATTTTCATTTTTCTGTTTGAAAAAGAGCTTTCAGTTAATATTGCACAGTTGTTTACCGACACAGCTAATATTTACAGAAGAAAAGCAAGCTTATATTATTACTATGAAGATGAACCTGGGCCAGTAGAAGAAACTGCAACGGAGAGAGAACTCAAAATGTGACTGCAACCTTTTTTCCAGTTGCATTTAAGTTTCTGATTTGAAGACCCTCCCAGGTTTTTGTGGGCTTTTTGATACTCAGCAATTCAATTCCTCTATTACATTCCTCCTGTCTCTTCTTTCTGAGTCTTCACTAGCTCTCCCCTGGATCACACACAAGTGGCTCTTCACTGGTTTCAATGCATTTCAGCCTCTCCAGCCAACTCTCATCTTTCATTTCTCATTGCTGAGTTCTTTCTGAAGCATATCTAATCAGCCCGCAAACAAAAAGAGAACAAAGCACCACTTCCAAGGAGGCATTCCAGTTTCTTTAGGGTATTGGCATTGCTGTGTCAAATGGTATTTCTATTTCCAACTCTTTGAGAAAGTGTCAAACCGCCTTCCATAGTGGTTGCACCATTTTACATTCCTACCAGCAGTGGGTAAGGCTCCAATCTCTTCACAACCTTGCCAGCATTTGTTATTTGCTGTTCTGTTGAACTTTGCTATTGTTGCTGGGGTGAGATGATCTCTCAGAGTTGTTTTGATTTGCATCTCTCTGATAGCTAGAGATTTTTAGTATTTCTTCATGTGTTTGTTTGCCAGCTATCCAAACAGATATATGCATACCATGTTTATTGCTGTGTTATTTACAATAGCAAAGAGATGGAAGCAACCCAAGTGCCCATCAACAAATGAATGGATAGAAAAACTATGGTATACACAATGGAATACTGTGCAGCACTGAAAACCAATGAACTCGTAAAACATTACACTGCATGAGTGACCCTGGAGGACATTATGCTGAGTGAAATATCTCAGTCACAAAAGGTCAAATACTGCATAATGCCACTGTTATAAAACAGGACTGACACTGGGGGTTGGGAGGAGACTAGGATAAGAATGGTTGGTCACATAATGAACGCTGCATTAGGACAGATGAAGAAAATAACTGTTTAAAATGAATATATCATTAGGCATTAT